GAAGTATTTGCACATTCCATTTTCATTTCTTCGTTTACGCGATAAATTCCTTTTCAAGCATTTATTCATTGATGCTGTGATTGTGATGTGCATGCGTTTGTGCCTTTGTCAATATTTGAATGCCAATGGCGAGAGTGCGTTGATGCATCGGAATGTTGCACTCTTGGCGGTTTCAATTTTGGTTGCAACATTGTCAAAGTCATTATTGTTGTTGTTTTTGACTAACAATGTCGAGTGTCATTCGAAGAGGCGTGTTGGAGCAATATTTCCCGAGTAGTGCAGTTAGGATACCTGCAAGTGCATACATACATATGTACATACTAGGGCTCGTTACATCAACCGACTATTCGACTATTCGGTTAACCTATTATTCGATTCTTAACCGTTCGCATGCTTGTAAGGCGGTTAATGGTATTCAAATAGTCGGCCGCCTTGGATTATTCAAATAGTTGCTTTGCGTGGACTATTCGAGTATTGTAGCAAATCGAATTTCAGGAACAGAACCTTCACTGAAATTTTTTTGACAAATGTACATACAGACATACATACGTTGAAATATAAAGAGCAGCAAAAGGCAAAAGGGTTTGGGATTTTTTTCGAAAAATCGGAGGGCTATTAGGAAGTAATGTGTTCCATATGTGGTGGAGTTTTGTTCCACAATTCTTCCACGCCCTATCTTAACAATCATTTAAGAAAGCCCTATAAAATCGCGAAAATTAGAGTTAGGTATTGCTTTAGCAGTGTGTGTAAACTATTTCGCAATAAAATTAAAAAAAAAAAAAGTTTGCTTTAATATTTCACATGCAAACTTAAATACTACGAATGTAAAAAAGCTATTCATATATTTATTTACATACATACATACGTATAAATGCAAAAAACTCGAACTTAAAATATTTGATTAACCGATAATGAACGGTTAACCGAATAATCTAAAGTGAACGGTTAATCGGATAGTCGACAGCTTTCGACTACTCGCATATTGCTAACCGATTTACTATAGTCGACTTAAGTCACATTCGAATAATTCGGTTTATCGAATAACCGAAGAGCCTGAGCTATAGTACATACATATGTATGAATATCGTTCTTCAGCTTTTGAAATCATGCAGCGGCTTAGGCATAAGGGCAATCTACATGATCTCCTTGCTTTTAAGGTCAGGTGAGGTCGAGTTAAAACCAACTATCCGCTAAAGCTAGTATGGTATCCTCCTCTTTGAATCAGGTCTGTGAATTAAATTTTTTTTTTGCAGTGCGAAGCGATCTTTCTGTTTCTAACCATTCAGCAGCCCCATTTTCGAGAATATCGATCAGCGACTCAGCTAAATCTACTTCGTACTGATAACAGCACTCTTTAGTAAGGCTCAACTTTGTCGCCAAGGACGTCAGAGCTATAAATATCTGAATAATGTAGACCGGTTCGTCTTGACGGTGGCGTAAACTACTAAGTTTTAAGAGGCGACTGCCTTCGGCGATAGCCAATCCTTTTGGCTGGAAAACACTAACGAAATCAAGCTTATGGATTGATATTCTTACTCACATGGATTCAGAGAAAGTGCCTGCCTCAACACTGCTTTACATTCTGGAGTACTATGGTGTACTATATAGGCGGAGCTATTAAATTCCCATCCCAGATGGCTCTCGACAGAAGAAGACATCCGATGTGTATTTCTGGTGGTGTTCCAATACTGCAGAACCCTGTGGCCCTCTAAGCTCTTTTATAGCTTATATTGGTCAAGTAAGGCTGCCCACCGGACCAGGGAATTGTAAGTTTGGGACTTGGCCACTCATTATTGCTAATTAAGGGCTAGGAAGGTTTTTCTTGGTTGGAAATGTGATTATTTCTGTTTTTTTCACTGGGTTGATTCTAAGGCCACATTGCCATTCTCACATGAGTTCTACTCACCCTTGCAGAACGATAAGATAACAAATTATTTACCGTATTCATTTTTTCAGGGCCTCTTCCAAAACTGTAAACTGCAGATAACTATAAATTTTTGTATTCAACTTAATACCGATTTTTCAGTGAATTAAGAAGCCCTATCTACTGCAATATGCTCTCATTGCTAGTTAGTTGAATAAATTTATAAGACAATCTCCAAAATTATAGCTCAAGCTGAAGAAAGATTGTCACTCTTTGCTGCCTAAAAAAATGGAAATATCCTATTTTATGTGTGTTGCGACTTCAATTTTATTCACTTTGCCATTGATTTGCTCGCCTTTTGTTCATTCCTCAGCTGCCAACTCAAGTCGAAATTATACATTTAAGCCTTGTAGAATGCACATATGTAATGAAAGAATAAAATTTAATAGGATGTTGTGAATGAACCCAGTAAACACAAAATTGAATAGAAAATCTTTGCGTACCTTTTTTCATAATATAGTTATATGATTTTGTCCGACGAATCAAATCACAAATATAATAAATTTGTTAAATAACACGGCCCGAGAATGCGTTCCAGTTTTGTTTTAGTTCTGCAGGAGAACAAAATGTAATGCCCCGAACGTTCCCACAAAAGAATCCAACTTATATCCCTATACTTTTGTTCCCCTTTATAATGGACATTATCTTAATCTTAATCTTAACCTTAATGCTAATATTAATCTTTCTGTTTATCTTAATCTTAATCTCAAATCTAAACTTAATCTTAAAATTATTGTTATACTAAATCTTAATTTTAAAGTTAATCGTAATCTTAATATTAATCGTAATCTTAAGCTTCATCTTAATCTTAATCTTAGTCCTAACCTTAATCCTAATTTTAATGTTAATCTTGATTTTAATTTTAATCTCAATTCTAAATAAAAAATCTAAACTAATAAAAATCTAAACTAAAGACAAGGATTTCCGCTCACAAGTCTAATATTAAGTTAAGGAGCAATTCGTCGGACAATAAGACGGCCTTGTCATCTCACTGTCAGGAAATGGGACATTATCCTGACTTTGAAAATGTAGCTATCTTGCAAGAAGAGAAAAATTATAATAAGCGATATGTTTTGGAGATGCTACATATCATGAACACCCCTAATAATAAAAGGATGAATTTTAAAACAGACACCGATAATTGCGCTCATGTGTATCGTAATATAGTTCTCACCCACAGCAACAATCAATAGTGTAGGTGTCAGGTGTTCAGGAAAAAAGAAAAAAAAAACAAAAAACCATTCGTCGGTCCGATCGCAACATTTCTTCGGACAACAATAATGTAATGTTGAGATGATACATACATACAATTCTTCGTCTTACTGTTCATCGCTTCATGTATTGTTGTTTGTATGTTTTTTGTTTATGATTACTGTATTTTGAATTGTATACATTTTCATGCTTATACTTATTGTCACCAAGTTTGTTTGTTAATGCATTTTCGCGCATATGTTTAGTCGACCAGGCAAAGCCAAGACTGTAAGTTATGTTTTGTTGTACGTTGTGTAAATAATTATTTTTATATGTATTCATATTGTGTTTTTGCAGTCCTGAAGATGCCTTTAGATTAAAGGCGAAATATCGACAGTAATAAACAAAAAAGGAAGATAAGACATCCAATCCTTTTATTTACCCTAGGCCTAGAGCTCAAACAAACAATCAAAATATTACAATAAACGGCCAGACAACAAACCCTAACCATGTTCAAAGGGAGAGCACACCGAAGTGACCAACACACGCATAAGGTCTACACAAACATCTAGCACAATTATGACATCAAAACCAGAAAATATATCAAAAGCTTTCAAAATACAACAAAACAAATTACTAGAATGGCAGAATCAACCAAATTCCTGGAAAGGTGCAGAAGGAGCGGCTTAACTCCCAATTTTATTAACAACGCTACTAAAAACATTATCTACATAATTAGCAACAACACTAGCAATAATAAGATGCCAACAAAAATCACCAACTCAGTGTCAGCTTACGTCCAAAAGGTCCAAAGAAAACTCTTGAATCTACTAATTAGTATCAAACACGAACTAATCCGACAAAAAAGTAACAAGGTAAATATACTGAAGGCGCAGATTAAACAACAACTTAACAGACGTGACTCCGATGTATTTTTTGAAAGTGAAGACGCAATAAACAATAACCTCATGACATGAAAACACAAACTAGCAAATACGAAAAACTAAGAGACAAACAAAAACAACGACTAAATATTAGGGGTGTACCAGAGTGGTTTTACAACACTACAACTTCTGAATTCCCAGAGGAGGTTCAGTGGCTCCTGTCATTAGGTCCAAAATTTGCCCTGCCAACGACCAAGAAAGAATTTCCATTATTGAAAATTATTGCAGATGGGGAAAATTGCATACAGATAATTAAGGATAGGGAAAAACAAGAAATTGAAAGAAACAATTTAACGATGTTAATATGTGACCATCTCAATAGGACGAAAAATACAATGAGAGATAGGTTTATTCGCGACACGCTCCATTCTGCTAAGATATTCTTAAAAACCAACAAGCTATTTTTGATTCTCAATGCCGACAAAGGGAACGTTACTGTTATCATGGAAAAATCTGAATATGATATGAAGATGCAAAATATTGTTAATGACATCTCCACCTACCGGGTTTTAAAGCGCGACCCGACGAATAAACTACAAGACAAAAATAACGAAATTGTAGAGCGAATGTACAAAAACAAAATTATTGATATACGGGAAAAGCACTTACTTTCTAGCAAAACCGCGAACCCCCCAAGAATTTACGGATTACCCAAAATCCATAAAGAAGGAATCCCTTTGAGACCTATATGTTCGTCCATTAACTCACCGTGTTATAATTTATGTAAATATGTTGTCCGTATACTTAAAAATCTATCAAAATCCTCAAAATATAATGTAAAGGACGCCATGGAATTCAGAGAAAAGATTGGAAGTACGTATATTTATGACGATGAAAGTTTAGTGTCATTTGATGTTGTTTCGTTGTTTCCGAGTATACCCGCAGATTTTGCCATAGAGATCATAGACTCAAAATGGAGTTCTATACAGGAGCACACACCATTAACTAAGGATCTATTTTTAACCATACTCAAATTTTGTATAAAAGAAAATCGCTATTTTAAGTATAATGACAAGATTTATGAGCAAAGGTCGGGTATGCCTATGGGTTCACCAGCATCACCCGTGATAGCAGACATAGTTATGGAGGAACTATTGACGAATTTCGAGAAAGACTCTGACAATAAACAACGATTATTAACTAAATATGTAGATGACGTATTTGCAATTATCAAAACAGAAACTATGGACAAGATGCTTAACACTCTAAACAACTATAATAAAACAATAAAATTTACAATCGAAATAGAAAGAGATGGACAATTGCCTTATCTGGACACCCTAATAATTAGAAAGAACAATATAATAACATTCGACTGGTATAAAAAACCGACAGCATCAGGGAGGCTCATAAATTTCAACTCCAAACATGAGAAGAAAGCAATTCTAAATACGGCTAGCAATTTTATAAGAAGAGTTCTCTCCATAAGTGACCAAATTTATCACACGAAGAATATTACCATTGTTGCCCCTTCTGGGGTTCCTCAAGGTAGCATTTTAGGCCCTCTACTTTTTGTTCTTTTTATAAATGACATTGGAAGTTGTTTTACCTTTTCAAATTATCTTCTTTTTGCTGATGATTTGAAAATTTTTACGATGGTTAACAATATGGAAGACTCAAGTAAGCTTCAAAGTGATTTGAACAGTCTTCATTTGTGGTGTGAAAAGTCGCGGCTGTCGTTGAACATTGCTAAGTGTTTTCACTTAACTTATACTAGGCGTCTTAATGCTACATCTACCCTTTATTTTATTGATAACTGTGTTTTAAACAAAGTTTCAGAGACTAAAGATCTTGGAGTGGTTTTCGAGTCAAAGTTTTCATTTAATAATCACATAAATTTCATTCTTTCAAAGGCTTATTCGGTATTGGGATTTATTCGACGTAGTTCCACTGATTTTTCTGATCCATACACTTTTAAGCTTCTTTTTACTTCTCTTGTACGCTCCAATTTAGAATATGCAGTAATTATCTGGAGACCCTATGATCAACAATCGATAAATAGGATCGAACGGGTTCAAAAGATATCTCTAAAGCATGCATTGCATTCTTTACGGTTCGAGGATCCAAAGCCACCGTACCAATCTCGGCTATTGCTTATTGATCTATGCTCTCTAGAGAAAAGAAGGTCCATTCTAGCTCTCTCGTTTATTTTCAATATAGTTAATGGCAATGTCGATTGTCCAACTCTTCTAGAGCGAATAAATTTTAACGTTCCGCAAAGAAATCTGCGAAGCTTTCTTCCTTTTTACGTTGCTAGTTGCAGAACTAATTTTGAAAGTAATGCACCTATTACGCGTGCCTTAAAAGAATTTAATGACTTATCTTCTTTTAAATTAATTGATTTTTCCTTATCAAGATCTAATTTTGTGTTGATCTTAAATTCTATTATTTGATAAGTATGTATTAAATATAATTATTATTGTTTCTTTAGTCTGTAAGGTACTTTGTGCTGTAGATTGAAAAATAAATAAATAAATAAATAATTAAAGAAATCCTAGGACGAAACGAATTTCCTCGGGGTATGATTAATAAGCTCATACGTAACTACTACGTAAGAAACAATAAGGGGGAAAAAATAAAGAGTTAAATAATAAAGTTTATAAATCGACGACCTATATTCCGGGATTATCGGAGAGGATTAAACATTCCAAAATGTATGACAAGGAGAACTTTAAAATAGCATTCACTTATGACAACACATTACAGCAGATATATAGCAATACCAAAGACAAAATTCCCAGAAATGAGAAATCTGACGTAGTCTACAAAATACCATGCAATGGCGACGGGTCCCACGTATGCAATATGGTTTATGTGGGGAAAACAAAATCTAAACTAAAGACAAGGATTTCCGCTCACAAGTCTAATATTAAGTTAAGGAGCAATTCGTCGGACAATAAGACGGCCTTGTCATCTCACTGTCAGGAAATGGGACATTATCCTGACTTTGAAAATGTAGCTATCTTGCAAGAAGAGAAAAATTATAATAAGCGATATGGTTTGGAGATGCTACATATCATGAACACCCCTAATATTAAAAGGATGAATTTTAAAACAGACACCGATAATTGCGCTCATGTGTATCGCAATATAGTTCTCACCCACAGCAACAATCAATAGTGTAGGTGTCAGGCGTTCAGGAAAAAAGAAAAAAAAAAAAAAAAACCATTCGTCGGTCCGATAGCAACATTTCTTCGGACAACAATAATGTAATGTTGAGATGATACATACATACAATTCTTCGTCTTACTGTTCATCGCTTCATGTATTGTTGTTTGTATGTTTTTTGTTTATGATTACTGTATTTTGAATTGTTTACATTTTCATGCTTATACTTATTGTCACCAAGTTTGTTTGTTAATGCATTTTCGCGCATATGCCCTACAAAAATCGCAACTACTCCATGCATGCGTGTAAAGAGTACTCCCTAAGGACCAAGGAGTACTCCAAAATTAACCACAATTCATATAAAAAATATGGTCCAATTAACATTGCGATGTCCTAGGGCAGGACCATATACTCCATCCCTGCATTACATCAGAGTAGCACAAAACTACTCCAACATCTTAACAATGGTATTGTTGTTATATTTTTTCGTTTGTACACGCTTTTGTTCTTCACTTCTCAAATGCTTTTTCGAAATTAATAAAATCCAAGACAAAGATTTAAAATTACATGTTGCCTCTGACGGCACTCGAACCCGAACATGCTGGGAGGTAAGAACTAACAGCGAGCATCTCTACACGTTCAGCTACAGCCAGACATGCAAATGTGCTTTCAAATGCTCAACTTCAATCACGTTTCGTTAAAACACGAGCAGTGATCGGATAACAAACAATAAGCTGGCGTAGATACACGAGTTGGTCCGCTACAGCATGACAGAGGAACACTTTTGTAAGTACTCCAATTTACCACAAACAGACTACATGGTCCAACGATTTTTGCAGGGTGTTTAGTCGACCAGGCAAAGCCAAGATTGTAAGTTATGTTTTGTTGTACGTTGTGTAAATAATTATTTGTATATGTATTCATATTGTGTTTTTGCAGTCCTGAAGATGCCTTTAGATTAAAGGCGAAATATCGACAATAATAAACAAAAAAGGAAGATAAGATATCGTTTTATTTACCCTAGGCCTAGAGCTCAAAAAAACAATCAAAATATTAAATTTTAATCTTAATCCTAATCCTAACTTTAACCTTAATCCTATTCTTAAACTTAATCTCAAGCCTGATCATGCCCAACCATCACCGCCCAACCCCCGCTTCTTTGTTTAAAAGTAGAGCACAACAATAGTGTCGACTTTTCAATACATCAATGTTTGCATTTACACCCAACCGAGTGCAAAGAAATTTACCGTCAAACAAAAGAAACTCTTAACTTGGATTTGAAACTTTGGCTAATTGGGCGAATAGATTCTTGTATTCGAAAACAACAAAATGCATTGTACAATAATTTATCAACTAGCTTTCACGTTATTTTCTCTTTAACTCATACGTGGCACATCCTCTTGGAATCCGGAAGTTATTGAGCGTTAGAGTGGGTGAAAAGTTTCTAAAATGTATGAATTGAGAAACCAGAGTAAGGGCCTAAGTGTTTCACCAGTAGCATAAACAATTGAGAGCTCAAGTGTGCAGAGTGTAGAGCAGATAGAGAGTGATAGATAACGGTAAAGTGTGTTTACTTAACTCACTGATAACTTAAATGGAAATGGTCATCAGCTGGTGCATGAAGGAGTCGAAGAGCTGAAGTTGTAACTTACAACGGCACATAAATATATACTACGTATGCATATACATATGTATATATATTCTCATAATATATGTATGCACAGACATATCGACGGTACTTTGGCAAAACCTCGTATCTCAGAAATTACTACTGCTAACGTATCTCTTAAAATTAATTAAAAATAGGCCTTAAATACTGCGATTCATTACACATTATTCTTAGGTAACTAAAAAGTACTTAATCCTTAATATTTAGTAAAAAAGTTATTGAAAATGATTTTCTGTTATTAGTAGAAAGTTTGTTTTTGGTAGAGAGTGCTGTTTGAGGGTGTTTCGAGATACGAGATTTTGCCTAAGTACCGTCGATACATACATAGTTATATAGCAAAAGCAGAGAGCTGTGAGATTTAGGCAAACCGGCTTAACGCACTATTTTATTGGTTAAAAAAGATGCACAAAGAATCTACGCTAAGAAAGATTTGCAAGCATTTACACTGCTACTATATACAGACATAAGTATGTGCCATTTCAAGCGATTTAAATTACTAGCATTTGCTCTAAGTTCGAATTCACATATGCCACATGCACCAAATGCGTAAGAAACTTGAGCTTTCATATGTGCATGTTACACACATACATATACATATGCGTAAATTTTGTAATAAATTCAAAATGTCACCGGTGCGCTTTCACTTGAAAGTGTATTATATTGCGCTATCATTGTTTTAAATTTAAGTTATTATGCAGCTTACTTTTGTCTCTGCTTAAATCACCGACACTCACTACATCTTCGTTTCTTAATTGCCCAAGTTTTTGGAATACTCGCGGAATAGTTTCGTCAGTTTTTTAATTACTTTTTGGCTTCAAAAATCTTCAAATGCATATGTCCATAAAAGGAAATCGTATCTCCAAAGACAGTGAAGGCATACTTTTAACATATTTCTTGATAGTTAGTATAGTTAGTAAATTTTGTCTCGGCTCTTAAACTTCTTGCTTGAAGAAAACAAAATTGTGAAACTCGGATATACATGCGTATATATCAGGGATTGGCATTGGTTGATCGTCAACTGTTCATACTCATTCAATACCGCTGCTTTGTATGACTGAGCAGCGGCGTTGGCTTAGTAGTATCGAAACGAAATTAGAGGATGACTGAACACGAGCGCATTGCGTGCTGTCTTGCAAATACAGTGTGAACGATGCTTATAACTGCTCATACTGATATTGACTTCGGCAAATCTGTACTCTGAATGATCGTGCACGAAACCAGCAAACGTGGCAGTTGAACGGCTCCGAAAACATGGGAGTCATCATTTGTTGCAGAAGTCGTTTGACTTGTTGCTGAAAATCATCTGACTTGTTGCTGAAAGCCATTTGAATTGTTGCTGAAAATCATCTGACTTGTTGCTCAAAATCATCTGACTTGTTGCTGAAATGACGACGAATGTGGTAAAGGGTAATTTATCGGCTCGTATGCATGTATGTATGTATTTATAGCGCGTCTACCATTCAATTGCATTGCTCACTGCTGGCTAGTTGTGAGGAATGTGCATACGTACGTATGTATGTATGTACATATCAATGCTTCATTTCAAACAAGCAATTGTCTTTGAATGTTTTTGAACTACAGTATCATCACTTCGGCAACACGTCAAACGCGCCTTCAGCAACAAACCAAAGGCGGCGGTTTGACTTTTGCAACAAATCAAGTTAGCTACATGCGGCATCTTGCCTTCGCCAGTCTTTCACATAAGCTCTCATGCTTTCGGCAACCGTCCAAAGCAGTATCGTGCTTTTGGCAGTCGATTAAATACGGCGGTTTCTGGTTTCGTGCACGATCATTCGGAGTACAGATTTGCCGAAGTCAATATCAGTATGAGCTGTTATAAGCATCGTTCACTTGTGGTGGCTGGGCTGTATTTGCAAGACAGCACGCTTTGCGGTGGTGTTCGTTCATCCTCCGTTTTTAACGTGAATAGGCTTAAAGTCACAAAAACAGCACCCTTTGCCAATCCCTGGTAAATATATATGTTTATAGTGTACGTATGTATATTAGGACGGAGTAATTTGTTCGAAGCAAAATTTTCGAAGAAATTGTAAAGTCGATTCAAATTCTACGATTATATCTAATCAAAAGAATTATATACCAAAAATGACGTTTGACTCTCCCATTTTTCAAAAGCAAAAGGAACATATTTATTGTGTGAAGAAAAGACAAAATTTAGCAAACTAAAAATTAATTTCATTTAAAAAAATTATAATACACAGATTTTTGTATTTTTGAACGAGTTTCGGAAGCAGCAACAACCAAAAAGGAAACACTGATATTTCTTTTAAAAATTGGGTGGGTCAAACGGCATTTTTATACCCGAGCGCACTTGTGCACCAGGGTATATTAATTTTGTTCACATAAAAGTTGTTTGTAACAGCCAAAACGAATCGAGATAGACATAGACAAATGTATACATAAATGATCAGAATGAAAACAGAAATCGATTAAGCCATGTCTGTCTGTCCGTCTGTCCGTCCGTCCGTCCGTCCGTGAGATATCTCAACGAAATTTGGTATGTAGGTTTCCATTTATCCAAGGTAGGTTGGTATTGAAAATGGGCGAAATCGGACTGTAACCACGCTCACTTCCGATATAACGGTAATTTTCAGAAATACGAAAACTGCGATATTTTGGTAACTACTGGAGATTATTCACTCAAAATCGATATTTACAATAAGTTTTAGACGAAAAATAAGAATATTATAAATGTTTGGAAAATGGGCGTAGCCACGCCCACTTATGGTTATATGTTTATATCTTAGTAACCGCTTTACCAATTTCTTCCAAACTTGGCACAGTTGTTGGCCTTCATACATCATACCAAATGGTCGACAATTTTTCAAGTCAGACAATAACCACGCCCACATCCCATATAACGGTAATTTAGCGAAAGCTAA